TTTGAAGTCTGTTTGCGAAAGGCCAGCGTGGATCTGCATGCTGATCAGTCTCCATGTTTCTGAATGGGTTTCCACTTCTGGATGATTTGAACCTGTGGCTTCTGAATCAAAGGAACTCTAGTCTGTGTTAGTGACGTCCACCGGGCAAGTTAAGGATAAAAAAAAAAAAAAAAAAAACTAAAACCAATACAAAGCTGCATGAAAATATGCCACCACAAAACAACCTCCTCTGTCGGGAACGTGTTGTAACATTTTCTTTTTACTCACATCTTTGCTACAGCTTATAAACAAGTGCAGCCTGTGAAGACTGAACCTGTCCCTCTGCGCCGCAGCTATCAGCGTCATCATCACAGTGTCTGACAGCATGGGGCGCGATCTCTCACTTGCACTTGGACAGTGCAAATTAGTCTCCCTCTATCTGGGTCACCTCTACTCTCACCTCAGTCAGAAGGGACTGAGATATCAGGGGCGGCTGATGCACGTTAACCACTGCACACACACACATACACATACATACAAAGACACACAACCATGCTCCAGAAACACAGACTGTGACAGATGGAAAACAACACTACATCCTGTCTTCTCTGCACCAACCGCCACCAGTGATTGTGGTGAATACAGAGAAAGACACCAGGAACCTTGTGGCTTTTCTCTTTAACACGATGGGAGTAGTTGAGCACCAGCGGACCTTATCCGGATCTAAGATGTTCTTTTCTGTGTCATCGAGACTCTTCCCTGCAGCTGCACTGTTCGAATGCTGCGCTTTTTTTAGTTTTTTTTATCCCATTTCAAGCTTTATTTAGAAGCTAAAGCGTGACTTTTCTCTTCAAAACGAAGAGCCGGGAATCGTGGGATCAAGACAAAATAATCTCAAAAGATAAGGCTTTTATAGCTTTGACATTGATTCACCAAGTATTTACATTTCAGAACCCCATGTATTACATTGTATTGTGTATTTCCAATAAATACACAAATGAACAATTTGCATCAAAATTACGCAAAAATTATTTTAGTGGTTCAATAAAGGTGTATATTGGAGAAACACTTCCCTCTGTTTGTATGTCCAGGACAAAAAAAATATACGTGAGTGCAAAAGGTACCAAAAAGTTTTGTCGATAGCCGATATGCCAATATTGTCCAAACACTTCATTTCGTTTCCGATATCAACAGATGCCGATACTTGCAGCTGTGTTTTCCCAAAATTATTTTTACATCACATCACGTACTATAGCTCCCTTCATGGTATTAACACATTACCTACTTGTGGTGTGATGCTCCACAAAATCAATTTTTAAGCAATTTTAGCATTTCTGGCGAAACTCAGGCATTGCATTATTGGGTTTTCATTATCGGAGCAAAAGAAAACTATAAAGATTCTTACCGATGTTACATAATTATGCTAATATCGGGCCAATAATATCAGTCGGCCGATATTATTGGACATCTCTAAAAAGTACCAAAGATACTATGATACTATGGTGAGGATCAGCTCAGAGCAGAAGAATTTTTAAGTAAAAATTCTATACAAAAAACATATTTGTGTCAGATTTTCTAGTGTTTATATTAAACATAAATTGTATGTAATCATCATCAGTATCAATTTTGTATGGAAAATGTCTACATTTACTACTTTAATGAATCCCAGCAATAAATGTTACAGAAAATGCATTCCTTGCACCCTAAACCAGTGACTCCCAGTACGGTTTCCACTGAGATGAAACCATTTAATCTAGATAAACATACATCCGGTATGTTGTCTCTGACCTGTGTTCACCCCTGCTTCATGCTGTTGTTGTTTTTTTCCGCTGCAGAAACACAGAATTATGACATGGCCCTGCTAATGCACTTGCTTGTCTTGATGAGTAAATTCCCCGTGCAGAAGCTCATTGTGAGCAGACGTATAAAGACCGAGCAGAGCAGAGCTCCGAGCATGTTTTGCTTGGTTATTGCTCTTGTGAGGGGCTTTCAGGACATTAGCTTCATGGCAGCTCCTGTATTAACCTTCCCCCAGGACAACAGAGACCAGCTCATACTGCTCCTAATTGAAGTTTCAGAGCAGAAACTCTTTGATGAGTTATTCATTTTGAAGCAGTTCTGCACCATCTGCATATTTCTTTCTCAGGTCATTTCAGCTCAGGGAAAAACAAAACAGCATTCTGCTTCTAAATTAGGACGTGTGTCCAAAATAACACAGGAAACACAGTGTGTATGGGTGTGTACGTCAAACGTGGGTGTGTGTGACTGTGTGGGTGCCTTCGTGTGGACGGCTGTTTTAGATCGTCACCACAACTCTGGTGTGTTGCTGTATTATTTACTGCAGTTTTTGTCTTATGTGTAATTGCAACTGTAATACAACAGGAAGCAGTGGTGGATCTGGGGTTTATCTGAGTAAGGGGCCAGTTTTTGTCCAACATTCGTGCACAAAAATCCCCTATATTTTCCTCAATCAATCAATCTATATCTATCATTTGGTAAGGTGTCTAAAAAAGACAGATGAGCACTACAGGGGGCCAATCAGATCTCAGCTGTGGCCACTGCCCCTGACAGGAAGCATGCAGGTTTGGACAGATTTCTTTAAACACATCTTTAAATATTAAAGCTAACCTAGAACAGGCAGATATGCATAACAAGGTTTAAGAAATAGAACAAAAATAGTTTATCATAGGCTCAGTACTGAGGAAACTAAAATGTCACTTTAACAAGTTGCAAAATTTGATAGTTCACAATATCACAATATATATATATATATATATATATATACAGTATATATATATATGTAGATATTAATCATTATCTTTCCCCGACAATGCTGTGCACAACACGGTTTCAACTGTTTGTTTTCCTTTTTTCTTTTGATACTCAGAAGTACCTGTCCAACTTTTTTGCATAAATAAAACTCTGCAGCACGACTATGTTCATAACTTAGATAAAAAAAAGATAGCCCTCCATCAATATTCCTCCCTCTTTTGATTGTAATTATCTCAGTACTCACACAGTAATGAGCTGTGAGGACACTTTGCATATCAATTTCAGACATTCATCAAAAAGAATGGTGGGAAAAGGAGTGATAGCACACTCAGAAACAATGAAATTTATGCATGATGCAAGTCTTTTGGGGTAAAACTTTTTTGTTGTCTTTGAAAAGTTAACAGTGATCTCCGAATAACAATGTGTGAAAATGTGTGCCTCCGTCTGTCTGTGCTATAATAGCTCTGCGTGCATGACATGCGGGCGATCCAGTAACAGAGGGTCATTTACAGTCCAGAAAATATTTTTAGTCCACTGTCCAAAAAATTGATACAACCTCTCATCCTCTTGTCCTTCCTTGTCCTTTTGTGCTTTAAATATGTTTTTCTCAAGTTGTCCTTCAGAAACGTTTGGAAGCATTTTATGTTGCCACGTTTCTTCTATGTATAAATGTGTAATGTAAAAACAAAAGCTGTTGTTAAAAAATTAAATTAAAATTTAAAAATCTGCATAGGTTGTCCAAAAGTCCTAAAGTAATAGCAAATATAAATGTCCCTGAAACGTATGTATTCTATGTAAGTATGTATTGGAAGCAAAAGAATAAATAAAAATCCACCTTTGGAACTGGAATTGCAGAATTCATCGATGTAAGCATTCCAGAAAAAGCCCTGAAATTTGCTCAGCCTCTCACTGCAAACTCTGCAGTTAAAAAGGCTTTTTGTCGACACTCACGTGAACATTAGCTCCGTGTTGGACAATCACAGGGACGTATTTGTGCACAATATCTTTCTTCACACCTGGACAGCTGTGGGCTGTGAAAAAGTCTAAATCCAATTACCCAGATAACATCGACAAACAGACACAAAATTGTATGGTGTATACTTGAAGGACACGTGCACACGTTACACACATGAATAGCAACACAAAAAACATATAAACACGTAGCCGCAATCCCTTCACCTCTGGACAAAAAATCAATTTCCAACTTGGAAGTTCTGCTCCAGACAGGTCTGAATCGACAGTCGTCAGGCAGATTAGAGCTTGTTCCCTTCTGATAAAACCAGCAATTTCACCACATGCTCCAAGAATTTAGATTTGCCAGATTTACCTTTGGTTGTGTAGAAGAAGACAGACAACCACAGAATAAAGACCGGTTGGAAACACGCGACGTCTGAGTGACAATAGTTTTAAACACAAAAGACTGTATTCCAAAAGCAGATTAGTGACTCTAATCTCACAGATGTAGATTAGAGACTATGGTATAAGGACTTAACAACACAGCAGTGACAGGTGATGAGTTTAACAAATAAAAACTCCAGTTGAGCTGGTTATCCTTAAACCCATCTTGACATATTTCTTTATTATGGGCGATGTTGCTGATTTATTGAGCCAAAGAATCATTGTCAATTGAGCCAACCAATCACATGGCCACTTAGACAAACACTGATTGTCACTCCTATTGAAAATCACATAAAGGCGTTTGCCTGAAGTGCCTTCCGATAGGTAAGCTGACGTTTGAAGTCAGATACTGAAAAAAGTAAGCTGAAATAATAGCTAAAAGCTAAGTCTATAAAAAGCTGTATGTGCCAAAAAGGTATCTGTCCTTTAAATAATACAATGCTGGAAATAACCTTATATTAATGTAGCGATTAATTAAGTTGCTGCTGAAAGTACTCTCAATGTGCTTAAGCTAAATGGAAGTTAAATGCTAAGCAGCTTGAAAATGAGCAAAGCCACAGGTGAAGGACATAAACAAACCCTCAGTCAAACAAGTTTCAAAATGCTCACCATAAACAGCTAAAAAATAACGTAATTAATAATTAAAATACCAAGTTAAAAAATATGCCAATTGCCCCACACACTGCTGGTGGCGCTAAGCTTGAGCTGCGTCCTGCTCACTAAGGTGATGGGCAGAGGTCACATTTCAGTGTGTGCAGTAGTGTGCTTCGAGTCAGTGACAATAATTCACTTTCACTTCAGTTGTTTTTTTTTTTTTTTTTTTTTTGAAAGACACAAAAATCTCTACTTACGTCGATGATGGTCCACTGTTCCACCACGATGGCATCATATGTTTGAGTGGCTGCATCCGCCTCACTCGCCTCCTGGAAGATGAAGACACTTTCGACGGACTTTGGCAGCAAGTCTAAAGAGAAAAATAAGGAGAAGAAGAAAAACGGGTAGAGATGAAGTCACAAGGAGAGTATTTACTGGATGGAGTGTGTCTGTCTTGCCTTTGCTTCCTCTTCAGACCCCCCAGGCTAGAGGAAATGGGATGATATCAGTCAGCCACATTCACATACAAGCCTTTATTACATAGCCCATGGTGTGGGCCATTTGAATGAGCACTGTGCTCTTTATACATTATGCAGGGAGACAATGTTAAAGCAAAAAAAAAAACCAAAAAAAAAAAACCCAGGTATTCCCCTATTGGGCTGTTGAAAAAGGCATTGGGCTTTATGTGCTACATCTTTGTGTTTTTAACACCCAATGCACTGCTGGTTTTCATGCTCAGCAGCTAAACAGAGGCTAATTACAGCAGGGAAGCTGTGGTAAATGTGATGCCTGATAGGATTTAAACCAACACAACTTTGTGTCTGGGAGAGCAGAGCTGAGAATCACAGCTTTATCAAAGGAAGGCGGAAAGAATTTTTTAGCCAAGGCAAAACGTAGCCGCTGATTTAATGAAGTCGGTCTTCGGGGCATTAGAAAGCTAATCCATTTACTAAGCCTGCATAATTCACCTTAAAAAGACTTAAAGAGAATTAAATAGAGCCATATCAAGTCATTGATGTTGTTGCTTTAGGCCTCAGCTGTGAGACTGTGCACCACTGACCTAATAGATTTTAGAAGCTTGACGTCTGTTGCCGGCTGACAATCACTGTATTGGCCAGCCTTGTTTTTTTTTTCCACTCAGTGTCTCTTGTTGTTCCCCTGATGCACAAACACATTACTTACAGACACGATACACGCCCCACGGTCCGGTCTTCTTGCCTGGCCTTAGCGCTTTCTTATTACTCTCACGCCATTTACACACTAATACAGTTTGCCTGGGCCCAGGCACAAATGCGAGACACTCCACATTTCATTACTAGGCCCTAATAATAGAGGGATAAGAGGAGGCTGGAGAAACTGGAGCGGGAAGAGATGAGCAGAGGTAGAGAGAAAAGGTGCAGGGATGACAGGCCCTTTTATTTCCCCCTCCCCAAAAAACCCATTTAGGACCCACGCACTCAGTTGAAGACATCTCTCAGACCTCTTCAGGCTCTCCCTACAATACACACAGTGCTGTGGTGACCTTCACCCCGCCTCTTTAACTTATCCCCAACCCCGCTTTCCCTGAGTCCATTGCTCCCCCCCCTCATTTAGCCCCGCCTCACCCGATTCCCCCCCCCCACTTGCTTTGTAATTGGAGAGCAGTCTAATAAGACTACATTGTAAGATGATGAGAGCCAGGCATCTCTGCCCCCAACCAGCACAACAGGGATCGCTCAGGAGAGATTGACACAGAGAGGTGACTCCTTCCTGACGGCTGTCTGTGGCGATAATACAGACGGGCGTTTGCTTAGCAGAGACGAGACAGAGAGAAAAGGAAGAGAGAGAGAGAGAAAGAGAGAGAGAGAGAGAGAGAGAGAGAGAGAGAGAGAATTAAGAGACGTGGAAGAGAAGGAGTCGTTTGCCGGGGGCATCGAGTCCGTCAGGGGAATACACGGGCTCCGTGCTCCAGTAAACATTATCTTGTGGCTATTGACAGAGAGCTGAGCTGCCGCTGCTGGGCCAACTGAGAATAAGATGTTTACACTTGCAAAAAACCTCCACGCTAGCTCAGGAAATTTGTTCTCCGTCTCCGACTGACTCATGAAGTCAAGGTCACAGATGGAGACATGTAAATAAAGTTATTCTACTGAGGAATACCACGTCAACATGGGACGAAAAGACATATTAGCGAGGAGCATGTGAAACAAAATGCATGCCTGAAGTAGAAAACGGAAAGTAAAATCGGCAAATATTTTTGCCTACTTAAAAAATATGTAGTCAGTCGGTGAATTTTTAAACCAAATCCATCCGAGGCTCACCAGAAAGTGACCCCGCTTCACTGGAATTATTTAAATATTTGTACCTGCCTCAGCTGCTGACAGCATCTCTATATTTCAGAGAGTACGAGTGCCTGTCCAGCACGTAAAAAAAGATGAGGGAAGCTAATGTTTGTTTGCCTGTGATGTGGATGTTGTGCTTCAGATTTGTAGCTGCAGGTCAGTGGGTGATGAAGGAAGAGAAGATGGGGATCCAGAGCAAACTGGCCTTACAGCAAGGTTGTGTAGTCGTTCAGTGAGTACTCCAGTTCCCTCCCACAGCCCAAAAACACTCCAGCTTGACCATAGTTATGACTGTGAGTGTCAACTGTTTTCTTTTTTCCATAAAGGTGGCCCTACAATGGTAGGGCAAACTGTCTGCACCCTTCACCTCTTGACTCTGACTCAGCAAAACACAAAGGTCTGATGTCACATTTTCTTCATAATATAAAGGCTCCAAAGGACTGTCCTAGTCAAATGTAGGACCATCGTCAGGTATAGAAAATCACACAGATATTTCTACGTATCTGTGTGTGAACGTATTGAAATAAGAAACCACTCAGTAAACACTCAGTAAACACTCTCCCAGTCTTATTACCGCTGCTTTGTTTGCTCTCAGACCTATACACAAAATTACTGGCAGAGAGAAGCACTTGCATCCGTCTTGTCAATATTTTCCCAAGTGCACAGATGGCACATGTATTTTTATTACACTTTCAGTCTCAGGAAAGGGATTTGCATATTTTGCTAATGCCAGTAATTTTTTTTATTCACAGTGAAAAGATTTCCCGTGTCATTCTCATTCTCTCCAGCTCCACCTGTTGCATTCTCACCCATTTTTTTGAAACCCATAAGAGCTTAGTGTCTAAATGTAAAGGCTGAATGTCTCACAACAGGATTGAAGATCATCATTGTGGCTCTGAAGAAAGACTTTTACATGTTGTAGCCCCAAACCCTTCACCTAGCCTGCAGACGGGACGGAGATGAGTCTACGCCAAGTGTGAAAATGGGCGTGTTTTAAGTGGAGATGAACTAGCATCCTTTAGGCCAGCATGTGTGTTCTCAGACAGTGCCACAGTGTGTATGAATCATTCATGTGCATCTTATGGCAGTGGGGGCCTCAGTGCAGCTTTGGTGTGCAGTAATTTAATAGAAATATAATATCTGACCCTGTGGCTCAAGAAAAGAAAACACCAGTGTGGACGTGCACTGTCTGAGTTTAATCACACACACACACACACACACACACACACCCATCAAAACAATGCACCGGATCTTTTCTCTTCCAGCCTCACCATGGAAACCCTTTCTTTTGAAGGACCGTGGGGGAGACGGCGTGTTTCGTGTGTCTGATTGTGTCAAAGTGTTCGTCCCTTCAGACCACGCCACACGGCTGGCAGTACAAAGGTTGAGTTATTTGAGGAAACTGACAGAGATGCAGACTGACAGAAGAGACGCGACATGAAAATTGATGCAGTTTGAAAAAACAAAACAAAAACAAAAGGAGGAAGGATGTGGGCGTTTATAAACATGTAGAATTTGGCTTTTCTTCCAAACAATTGAATCTGAACATTTTTGTAAAATATAAAAAATTCATCTGTGCTAATTCTAATTACACGTAACTTAAAAATGTACCCACCGATAATATTTTCACCATATTGATTTAAAACTGGTTATACTATTATTGCAGATTTGGAAGTTTGGGGAAAATCTTCAGCTATTTGATCATGTACATTTAGCACTTTCCTTCTACAATTCAATAACATTAAGTCATTTTTTGCAATTCTGGACTTGTAGTTACAGACATTTGTCATTATCAATGAAGTTGCTAATAACTTTTTTGCAGATATCTGATATGTCATTATTGTCCAAACACTTAATTTCCAATTCCAATATCAACTGATGCAGATATAGCAGGGCAGTGGTGGCCTGGTGGTTAAGGAAGTTAAGTGCCCTGTGCTCACTAAGGTGAGGGGTTAAAGCAGAGTTCTCTGATCTATTTTTTCTAGGAAAATACTCCCAAAAAACCAAAGCCATGGATATAACACAATAAAAAAATTAACTGACCAATACAAAACAATACAAAATGTGATGTGATCAATGTAACTTCTTCCATTTTTTTGTGCTTTAAGCCCACCCTCTCGCTCCTTCTGTATTAAACTCTGCAAAGACTTTTATTTTGACAAGCACTTCGACATGTGTCAAGTAGCATTCCGAATTTGAAAAGAATGAGATCATCTTTTAAAAATGAAAACTTCTGATAATCTATGAAACACCAGTAACATGGTAGAGGCTAGTGGTTGGAGCTTTACACCACACAGGTACAGTTTCTGCCTGTACAGAACAAGCGAGTGCTTTTCAAAACAAGGCTGTCAGTGTCAACATCATCCCCTCACTCTGTCACTCGGTGTCATTTTACTTTGACGCCTCGCTGTCAAACACATCCTAAAAGCCTACAGGGGTCGAATCAGTCTCACAGTCAGCGTCCCGTCGCGGTTTTCAGAGACACGTCGAAGATAGTGACTCAGTTTGTAGACAGCAGGCATGGATGGTGACTCTGAAGCCCAGAGCTGCTGCTGCTGCTGCTGCATTGCTGGCTGTTTGATGTAATTAAATAGCTAACAACAAATGAATGCCGCTTTGATGTCAGCTGCTCTCAGCAAATCAGTGAACTCCGCACAGTCACCTCTGCAACGGTGTTGGTTTTTCTGAAGGCTCTGAACTTCATCTAAATTCCAAACACACCAGTCTTTGGATGTAGGTGTTAGCAGAGCATGAAAAAAAAAATGTCAGAGAAGCCTAAAGTGCATTAAAATAAAGAACATAATCATAATAATACACTTCATTACTTCTCAGGACATTAAATATGCAAGTAAAGCAGTCATTTGTTATCAAGTTAATTATCTGTGTTTCAGAGTTGCTGAGGCGTTCACTTTCCCAGATTAATGAGTTATGATTTTTATTTACTGAGGCTGGATTAAATCTCCAGTGGCAGAGTAAAGCTCACAGCCGCTGCTGCTGCTGCTGGCTCTGATGGAAAAGATTGAGCTAAAATAAATAATCCAAACATGAAATAATTTAAAACAGAAGCACATCAGTGATCAACTGCAGCTTCTTAAGCCTCCCCGGTGACAGCAGAATAATCAACTCAGACAGACAGAATTGCTGAAGAGTCGGAGTCCACTCTTTGTGTTTGTATAAAGATGATGCAGTTTCCCGAAATCTAGGATTATTTCCCTGATATCTCTGCCCACAGTGGACACGGCACAATTTCAAATCGTTGTATGGAAACTGTTGTCAGGAATTGAGGCTTCATATCTGCCTAAATTATAGTGTAATTCACCAAATAGATATTGATACAGAGTCCAAGTGTGTCTTTGAACACAACTCTATATAATAAAGTCCAACCGCCATACTATCAAATTTGATGAAACGACAGTCTAAAGAGCAGGATTGTTTCTTTGACTGTAGTATTCTGTGTGCCAATATTTGCAGAATAGTTGTCTTGCTTTAAGCTAGCTGTACTGCTTTGGTCCATCAGTTGCTGAAACAATATTAATACAGATCAAATCCTTTTACACATCCAATAATTATTCTTAATCATTATTTGAAGGTTGATTCAGGTAATATATATTTCTCAAATTATCAGTGAATCTTTTCACCCAAAAAAGAAAATGATCTCATTTGTGTGTATCTGAATCTTAATACCATATTCACTGCACAGCGACACTAGTTTCGCTATATTTTTGAGTTCACACTGCAAAGTAATGCACACTCACTCCTCCACTAACCGCACATTAACTAATCCAACTCCATACGAGGGTAGAGTTTCAATCCAGAATTAGTCAATTCGGATGCAAACCATAAAAACTACGATGGGTTTTGCTCCACATGAATGTGAACAAAAACCTAAAACTTTTAATCAGAGTTACGTTCACCAATCCCACAAAGTCTTGCACATGCTAATCTCCCACTTCATGTCGTCTCCTGCAAGATCGCTGATCTGTTCTTTATAGGCTATGTGTTGCTTTCATCGCTATCCATGATGAAAGGCTGAAAATTCTCACTGTGCTGACCACATGACAACAAATGAATGTGTACCAGATACTCCGAAAGAGAACAAAAACACAGAGTGCATACGAAACCAGCACTCCAACTCAAAACCCAAAAGTGTATCTCCTGAACTTTCAATTACCACAGGATCGCCTCCCTGTTAACAACTACAGGAGTCAATTCGTGTTTGAGTGTGAAAACGGCATAATACATAATTAACAACACACAGAAACATACAAATCATTATCCTGCAACGGGTTATTATTCTGGTAGAATTCACACCTGCTCGATGTTAGCAGTTTTCCTGTTTTTAATGAAGTTCTAATGGCTTTTTAGTGTGAGTGTTTGTGGAACCAGACCATATGTGGGGACATTAGAGAGTTGCACTGAATGTGTGTCACACTCCAATAACCTGAAGCTCTTACCATTCACGTTTCCCAGGTAGAAATATCCGTCCACCAGAGTGGCTCCATTGTTAAAGTGCTGGGTCATGTGATCCAGCCAGTTGGCCTCCACACTTTTGACGCCCCCTTCACAGTTCTGGACCCTCAATGGCACCTTCACTGTGTAGTACTTGGCCTGACCCTCTCTGACCAATGGGTGGTTATAGAGAGCCAGCAGCTCCACACCTGAGGGGACAAAAGAGAGAGTGTGGTCAGTGAATCTACTCAGTGATGGGCGCCACCTTGTGACAGAGTCTACTGATAAATGGCTTTTTATTTTAGAGTTTAAATTATTAAAATGTATAAAGATGAATTTTGCTGGTGTTTTAAAACACTTTTTAAATTTACCTAAATAAAAATATGTAAGAGGTAATGTGATTGGTCAGTCATTATTCAGAAAAAGGACAAAGGAAAAGACCAAATTCAAGCGGATGATAAAAACGTTACATCATATATATGTAGATGTAATCATTGGCCAAATATTTACACCTGAATACATTTTTAAATTTTACATTTGACCTGCCACAAAAAGTACGAAATCACAGTTAAAAAAAGGAAGACAAAACCATGGCAACCACAAAAAGCACAACAATGACTTCACATCATTTCCCCTTTTGTTCCCCTTCGGACTATAACAATAACAACAATCTAGATCCACAGGATGTGAACACTCAGAATGATCGAATGTAAAATGACATTGGGTGTACGCTTCAAAAGCTTCTTGGCGCAGAAACGTAAGCAACAAAATTCATTTTTTATTATTTGTCTATAGCAACAGTTCATTCGTGGTCATTTTCTCAAATGTTTGGGAAACGTTGAGCAACACCGCCTGGAATCAGAACAGCTGTCTTTGAAATAATAACGAGACAGATTGAGCATGTTGTAGTGACAGCAGCACAGTTTCGACAAAAAAAAAAAACCACCTGAAGAATAATGTTATTATATTCAAAGTTGATATAAAGTCTCTTGTGTATCCAAATATGCCCCAAATATATTTAGGGCATTTTCGCAATTTGGAACACAAAAACAATTAAGTGTGTTTGAAGAACAACTTTAATGTATTTTTTAGAGACATTAACTTCTCTGTTATTTGTAGGGCAGCTGCAGCGCCAGTTAACGACGGACGACCTGAGCGCTGCCGCTGTTTCACATTAATTTTCTTATATCCCATAAGTCTGGACATGCAGGGTACATTTGCATAAAAGAAATTTCACAGAAAACAACCTTCGGCATCATTATCACATCCTGGGGAAAAAAATCATCACTTGGCAGATGTGAAGGAGAGGAGAAATGAAAAAGTAATACAGTACGAGGTCGGTGTTGCCCTCAGCTCAAGGGGGATTCTCGGTAAATAAATGGAGTTCAATTCAATTTTCCTTCTTTGTATATTTCCCGCCGACCTACATCATTAAAGCGGCGATGGAGAATATTGAATTAATATACAGTGTTTTTGATGCAAACTTTAAAGTAAAATTTATTTACTGTACATTATATTAGGTGTGTTGCACGATCGCAGATAAGAACAATTTTAATAATAAAAGTTTTCCCAATACACAAACATTTATGGAAAGATAAAGAGCAGTCCTAGAAGCTAAAATATAGCAAAGAAATATGCCAAAAAAAAAATTCCCAAATATAGCCAAACAATTGCTTAAATTGCCTGCTCAAATAACGCTTTCATCATCTAAATTAATTTGAGAAGACTAATCAGATTAAATGGTAACTGGTTAAATGGTAATTTATACACATTGCCAGAATGACACTCACTCATATACACACTTTAATTGCACATATTTGCTTGCACTTATATAGCACCTGGCCACCAGCACGTGATTGGTTCAAGGGCTTCACTGAAATTTTAAAAGCAACCTTTGAAATGCCTTCTACAAGACACAGTCAAGATGGACGTAATGACTGAAGACTTTGAGTTGATAAAGCTAAATTTTCAATTATACTGTTATATTGGTATATTTTCTTGACCTTTTTCCATATTAATGATTCCATCATTTGGATTAATCACAAATAAAACCAGGTGTGAAACACAAACATTTACCTGATGTTATCAGGATTTCTGTTCCAGCAATATAGAGTAAAAAAAGATTATTGTCTAAGAAGAAGATTAATCATAACTGTGATCAATCCACGACTTTTTCTGTGATTAATTCTATTAATAAAAAATCAATAGATAGATTAAACTTAACCACATTTTAAAGTATTGTAAAAGATGGAAAAAATGTTTTTAGAAAAAAATTTAGTAGTCATTTTTAAAGTATTGTAAAATATGGAAAAAATGTTTTTAGAAAAAAATTAATAACCAAAACTGATCAAAAGAGGAAAAAGTAATAAGGAAAAAATTAGGAGACAAAAAATAAATCAAAAACTTATAATACATGACTCCTCCATATTTGTTTTATATTTTTTCTTTAATCCTGTAAGCCTGCTGTATGTGAACTTTAAAGGGCTTTTCCTATATATCACTGTTGAGTCAGAGATATCATACAATTGAATAATGCATTAAAAGCTCTTCATCTAACTGCGGTTTACATCAAGCAGAAATAAACATAAGGCAGGAGGCCTCATGAGAGGGAACCAGACCCAGGCTCCATTAATATCTACATACGTATAAATATAAATGCATGTGTCACGGCAGCTCACTCATATCATAGGGAATAAACGCGGAAAGCAGTTTTTTATTTTTTTTATGTGATGTTTCTGAGTGACACATTTGATCTGAAATAAATAAATTAAAAATAAAAATATTAGATGTGAGTGAAGTTTTGATCCTGTAGAATTCAAAAGAAAAAAACATTTCCTTCCACTCCAAATGCAAATGTGTGTGCACTCACTGTCATACTCTGAGTGAACCAGATGGATGAGCAGAATGTGCAGCACAGCCTCCCGCCTGTCCACCCACCCACACACACACACACACACACAGGAGTGCATGCGCGCACACACACACACAGTTTGTCATGGGGTGGTGGAGGGCACGGCAGCACCTGCTGCGACATAGTCATGGCTCAGTCTCTTCTCTTCTTCTATCCATCCATCCATCCATCCATCTATCCGTCTATCCATCCGATTGGCAGACACACAGAAAGAATGAATCATTTATCCAAGCAGCTCTTGTCTGGCTCGTGTGACTGATGTTACATCCGGCCACCGAAGAGTCTAAATCTTGTCATTTGTCACTCTTAAGAAAAGTCAGATCACAGCACAGTTTTGACAAACCCTCATCCCTCATCTCCTCCGTTCTCTCCCCTCTGCTTATAAGTGTGACACACACAGTACTTCCAAGACAATATGACTATACGCAACGATATAAACACGTCTGATGCCAACATCTATCAGTAGCTACAGTTGAAGACTGTCGCAGAAGAGCAACCTGGTCAAATACAGTTATGGTCTCCAGTGCCTCAAAATGGTGGAAGTCTTAGAACTAGACATCACACTAACGCTCAATATGTCCCAGAATTGTATTAGAAAATCTATTGGCGTCACAACTGAGAGATGAATCTTTCTCATCCTCCAAACCAGATAAAAATGAAATAGCTTCAAATCACCCGTTTTATAATAGTCGTGAATCTGAACCTGAACAGTCCTGCCTCGGTGAGTGTGTTTGGAACATCTGAAGGAGGATGGAGGAGAATGACTGCTCTACATAATAATAATAATAATTTTATCATTTCCAAAAAATAAGAGTCCTGATATTTTCCAGACCGAAAAATAAGAGTCCTGATATTTTCCAGAACGTTTACCACGCCCTTGGTCAAATTTGCAGGTAATGTCAGGGTGAACACAAGTCCTTACAGTAACAGTAGGTGGAGACATATTTCCAGATTGGACCCAGTGCATCATTACATCATCCAACCATATTTTACAGAGATGATTCAGTTCTGTTGATAGTTTCTTTACAGTCAGCGGTCACTTTATAACAGCTTGTCATAAAACACCAACACTGGGCAGGAAACATGCAACAGCTTGTTCCATTATTAGTTATTTTATGTGCATTAACAGCAGTGACATCTATGCATTATATTTCATAATAGCAAAAATACTTCCATGATCACGATACAAGAGTGACTTTAGTTCCCGTTATTGGTAAAATGGTCTTTTTATTACCTTTGTTTGTTGATAAATATCTCTTTTACAACACAGTAAAACTGTGGAGGCCGTATAAAGACTATAAATGTTTAAAAGCTTGGTCCGAGGTTAATTTTACAGGGAGTCAGATCGGGGCAACAAAGTTCGGTCTCTTCACAATAACACATATTTTAGGGATTTTTTTCTGTCCATCATAAATTGAATCGTCCTCATTTCCACCATAAAATTGTGGAATATAAAAACAGAGGCAGCAAGGCTTTTAGTAGATCAATATGAACCCTGATGGTGATGTTTTTCAGATGCTAGCCCACAATGCAGTGAGTTTAAGACTTATAATAACAGCATTATTGAAAAAAAAAAGATGAACCCAGACAACACTGAAGATGACGATGATAAGGTCGAGGTCACCAAGTACTGAGACAGATGTTACAGAAGTAACCATTAGAATTAGATTTAATGACACCTTAAAATAGAAAAAAACATAAGCCTAGAATTGCTCAAAGTAAGCTAGCAGTTTGGCACAGACATACATACAGTATAGGGGGGATCCTCAGTGAACGACTTCCTCGACCTACAGCATTTGTGATTACCTTGCCATCCCCCATAAGTCTTGTTTTATCATTCCGACGTATGACCTTGAACGTGCCACCTAGTTTGACAGGAAGGCACTAGTTCGTACAGGAAGGTTCGTACAGGTGGGTCGCAAGAGTTTTTTTGGGGGGCGGGGAGGGTCATCTCACATCATGTTTCCCAGGGGTTTACGAATAATGTCTATTGACTTGGGTCTCGGAGGTTTGTGAGAAGTTTGGGAAACACTGATGTACTAAAATCGAGTTACATCGCACTGTAGGAATGGAATTCCAACGTGAATCCAGGACCGCCTGTATAGGATGAGTGTTCATATGTCAGCGCTGACTATTTTACAACCATAATCTTTTTCCCTGAGAAATGAACTGTTACATGTGTTGAATAAACGTCAGATGTGTAATCTCAGTTTCCCAGTAAATGCTCCCTCTGTATCTCTAAAGTATAATCGTATCTTTTCATCACCCTCTGAACATTATGTTAACATAAATGACTTTTATGAGGAGAAGTCGTCTGTTCCACACGAGCTCATGAAATCACAATCCAATTTCTCATCCCATCTAATTCCAGAAGACACTTACTCTTTCTGCAATGTAAAGATCGAGTCCGAGGGTTCTGGTCTGACAGAGACGTGCGTTCTCTTGTCAGAAAAAAACCCATAGATTTTAAACGGCTTTTCTGCAGCGTTGCGTGTAGATCAGTGCGGTATAGTCGATGAGCCAAGAGTAGCCGAGGCTCTCAGGCCTCCTCGACAGACTGGGCATTAGTGGAACCTTGGCAGAGTCTCTGACCATCATGGCTCTGTAGCTGTATGGACAGGATGAAGGTGTGGTTTTGAGAATGTGACACTGAAGGAGGAGAAGGAAGAGGAAGAGCCACTCGTGGATAATCTCACTGCAGCCTGCACTAGTCAGCGAGCAGCCAACAAACCAATGGGCTGTGGACTGCCAACACACCAACAGTGGGTTTCAAATGCTCAGCATTAACACTAATTATTACTATGGTTGAATCAGTGAATGCTATAGATAGTATTTTTAATCACAAGTCAATGAATATAAATGTAACCTTGCTTTCACGACTTTTGATATATACTTTATTTGGCAATTTTAGTATTTTGTTATTTTTGTTTTGGACATTTCATGTGATTGGATTGGTGGATCGATCCCTGGGCTTCCTGTATGGATGTTCTCCCCCATGTGTGAGTGGGCTTCACCAGACAGTACAAAAGCATGTAGATTAGGTATCAAGGTGATCACTGGTATCAATGAGGCCGTGAGTGTTTTTACGTGGCTCTGTGATGGACCAGTGAATTGTCCAGGGTGTACCCCGCCCTCGCTTATTGACTGCTGGGATTGCCTCCAGCTCCGCTATTCGATTGAAAAGGATTAAGTGGTAGAAAATGGATGGATATTTTCTTTCTTTTTACTACATTACTAGATATACTGTACACTAGTAAATATAATCTAGCAGTACTAAACAAATAGCAGGGCAACATTTTTGGGGATTTCTTTTTGTTTAATAATATGTTTACAGTATTAATGTGAAACACACATATCTAACTATCTATTAGCTTTTTTTTAATTGTCAGATTGTTTGCTACGACATCATTGACTTCTTCTCTGGGATTTTAAAGACAATGACATGGCAGTTGTGCGCAGAGCCTATATACAGCTGGATGTTTCTCATTCAGGTAATGCAAAAACAAACAAAAAATCCATCTTACATGACAACAGCACGAAGGCCTTTTATCATGAGATGTTGAGAAAGAGGAAATGGAAGAGCCACTGGAGAATGATCTGAGATGCAAAATGCACAGCACGCAGGCCCTGATGGATCAGTGAGCAGTAGTCTGCTCTCAGGCCAGGAGTGTGTTTTACCCCACACAAAGAAAAGCACTGAACACACACATTAAGCATATCCAGAGTACATCCATAATACATCGACCGGTATTAGGTGCTCTGGAGCTAATTGCATTAGAAACTATAAAGAAACAAAGGAACACACACACACACTTTGGCACAGGCGTTAACATTCCCACTGGGACCCGTGTCTTATGCAAAGTTCGCACATTTGTACTAAGACATAACACCAATAGATCTGAAGCTGTAGAAGCAGCATAGTGGTGGGTGTCTCCATCTGTTCGTTTCGAGATAATCTACTGAAGCTAATATTGACATTTAGATATGAAACAGACATACTTTTCAGCATACTTTTTATTGTAAACGTCATTTATTAGCTTGCTTGTTTCGAGTAACTTTTACATATTTTGGCACATTTTACCTGGTTTGGCAACTGAAAAGTTTTTATTCCACAATAACAGCTATTTTATTGCCATTCTTGGGCCATTTCTAAGCTAGCAGAAATAGCTAACAGCTAACATTTTGAACTGTGGGATTTTTTTTATTGCAGAACATAAAAAATAATAATTACTGTGTGTCTTTCAATTCTAGGCTTTAGAAATAGCCCGTGCAGCTTCATTAATCTCAAATTGTATTACTCATTATTTATTTTGTAATCTCAGTAGGCTGTCTAGGTGGTCTAGACTAGTGGTGGGTACATTAATTTAGGAGGTTAAGTCAAAGACAAACTGTGGGGTTATTATCCATTCCACAAACAAGTCCTACAACCAGTTAACCAAGAGCTCATTTAGTCTTTACGGTGCCCCCTGGTGGCTTAGGGCTCAAGGCAATCGCCCATTTTCACCTAATGGTGATGTCTGCCCCTGGTTGGGACCATAAAACTTTGCTGAAGTATTCAAACAAAAGCAGTAACAGCTTTTTTGGGGGAAGCGCAGGGCTATTAAGATCTGCAGGCGTATCGGCAGCAGAACGCATGCCTTTTTTTAAACAAAAATGTCGTAATGTGCATGCAGCCTCAGTTTAAGGGGTCTGCATTTATGTGCACCGCAGCTACAACATGATCCTTTTTGTGTAACGGATAAAGAGGATTATACCCTGCGGCAGCACATTGTTGTGTAAGATTGAGGAAATAGAAGGAAATGACACCTCCACACACACACACGCCAAGTGTTTGGAGAGGGATCTACAGGAGCCAAGCTGTTCTCGGGTGAAACGGCCAAAAGGTATGGCTGCAGATGAAACACACTCACACTCTTCTTCAAGCAGATACTGGCTTAAGATTAAACAATGTCAGCTTGGATTTACTGTGTATTTCACACAAAAAAGTTGAGGTTCATAGGAGAGGAATTTCTACCCTGATGGAGCCTCTGACGTAGCGGCTGGTCATGATTTAAAGATGGAAATCTAAAAAAAATAAAATACAAGCAGCTTAAAAGCCAGACTTTTGCTTTGTTTTTCTAAGAAAGTTATAAAAACCAATCGTTCGTAGCTATGTCGAAACCCTCACACTCTCTGGCCCAACTATTGGCTGCTTTGGCAGAATGTGTTAATCTATTGCCATTGTTTGGTGTATGGTGTGGAACACCACTTGCTCTATTTGGTGTGAAAATGAACTGGCTTGGGATGTTAGACTCTTTTGCTGTAATGTTATGTGTTTCCTGCCCATTTTTGGTAAAATTTCAGGCCGACTAGGCTTTAAATGTGTGTACAACAGCAGCATATCTGAAGGTTTTTACTCAGGATTGAAGAAATAGCTAGACCATTAGTTCACAAATCTATTTTCTACTGCCTAATCCTTCTTAGGGTCGGGGTTTAAGGAGAGCTGCTGCCAGGCCCAGCAATAAATTGGCGAATGTGGGGTGAACCATGGACAGTTCTCCAGTCCATCGAAGGGCCATATAAAAAGACAACTGACCATTTACACTCACATTCATGACTCGGTGTGTCCAACGAACCTTATCTGTATTTTGTTTTTTTGGTCAAAGTAGTTTTTTTTCTTTCTGTTTTTAGATTAGTTCTTTACAGTTGGGTCTTGTTTTACACAGAACTCTTCTCTTTTCTCCTCTTTTTCTTGTCTACTTCTCAGGAAAGCCACCACCTCACGATAAGAACTTTCCCTTAAATGGAGTGACTATAAAATGATACAGGAACTCATGATTGATCCACCGAGGGCTGAGCAGCACAGCAGCTCCAGCCTTTCACAGTCTGAAGCTCTGACCTTTAATTATCCTAATTATCATTCCTCGTTATTTCTGATCTGGTTCATTTGTAGGAAAGCTGGATGGCTGCTGCACGAGCGTGTTCCCGTGTCATTTGCAATTGGGAAACCTTGTGAAGTTTTAAAGTCTAAAATTTTGACCTTTAATTACAGCCCACCCACGGGGGGCAGCAGCTGCTTCCGCTGCTGTTTTCATTTTAAAGGTTCAGTTCAACTGTTTGACACAAGGATATAAAAATGCATTTAGAGAAGTTTGTTGCCGACATTTCTAACAAACAAAGCCCAGCGGTGGAGGTGTTGGCTGCACCTTCTCTGTAAATAACTGGGTTATTAGGACATATGGAGGATATATTTCTTCAACACTGCTGACAGCAGGCTTTGGGGATTTACTGGAGGGCACTGTGTCGAGAGATGTGGCTCCTCTGTGGTGTCAGAGAAGGATAAAGACAGTGTATGGAAATCCTGGCAAAAAAATGATGCCTTCATTATTGTCTGCCAGGAAAGAAAAATGATGAAAAAAAATTGGACAGCAAACATTTGTCTCACGAGGGTGGGTTTAGGTACCCACATCCACACAGAGAAACATCTGGTTGCTGGGCAGACTACATAAACGGATAAAAGGTAGAGATGCACCGTTTGGCTGTTGGAGTCGGTCACTTTTCAACATGATTGGCTCGACCTGCTACCGGCAGGTCTGCACATGTGTGTTTGGTTTTTCAGTCGATCATTTCACGCATTATTGTATTCCGTGGTGGAGAAGCTGAAACTAACATGCCATTGGTTGGGAGGTACTTTACTGTCAGCCAGGAAAGCTTTGAGCTCTCTAGTTGTAATATATGCAACAGTAGGATTAACTCCAGGGGAACGTCGGCAAATTGGTTTCGGAACAATGAACCCAATCCGACACCATCGTCTAGCCAAAGATGCCAGGCAGGCTAACACCAGGACAACTGGGATTTCACAGACATGACGTTACCGAAACATTTTCAATTTGTGTTATGCTACATTAGCATCCTGCACCGGGCTAACCCTAGTGCAGAAAGTGGCATTTGGACAAGTTTTTAATTGAAAGAAATCAAATCAAAAATCAATATCGGCGAGTCACACCAAAAATTGGATTCTGCCCAAACACTGGCAAAATCTGCACACCAATCCACAAAATATAAGGTAATTAAGATTATGGAATATTTATATCTAGCCATATCTCCAAAATGTTTTAAACAGAAAGATACTATAGCTCGATGGCTAAGGTTAACTACTGTATAGTACGTTGTTTTGTTTTGGTGTTAAATAGTAACAAAAACTCACCGTTGCCTCTTCGCAGCCTGTATCTTGGTCGGTCCCTTGTCTCGGCACAGCCATCCTTGTTGTTATTGTGACACGGTGAGTTCTCCTCCTTCAGCTCCAAATCCAGCTCCGACACTGGAGACGTGGTGGACGACACCTCATCTTGACTGCTCACTGCACAGCCTTTGGACCACTTCCCATCTTCCTCACTTTTATTCTGCTCCTCAGTCTGTGATCTTTCGCCCTCATTTGGTTTTTCCCCCGTGGTGTTGCCTTCTTCAGGTACAGGCCCTGCATGATTTGTGGGGCTGGAGGGGTTTGAAGGGCTGCAGCTGCCCAGCGAGCCGAGAAGGGAGCTGGGACTGGAGTGTAGCGAGAGGGAAGGAGTTTCTGGTTCTCTGATTGTTGTGCATGGAGCCCCATATGGTTCCTGCACAAATCCAACAAACCTCACGCCCTGGTCTGCAGCATCCTGGATCTGCTGTTATAGAGCAAAAACAACAACACATGATTTCTAATGTGATCGGTGTTGAAATAATAAGGCTGTAAAATAGACAGATTGACATTTGGTATTTTTTTGTCTTTGATATATTTTGTAACAGTAACACAGCACAGCTGCTCAATGAGATGAAGACTGCAGGCTAATCAGTGGTAAAATATGATTCTCTTTCAGTCGCATTCCTCCACAGAATTGAATATACTGGATGTTAAGCTTGTGTTGCGCTTAGATTTGGGTGTGAGGTGATGGTGGATGGGGTATAGTTTGGGTAAAATGCCAAAGAAAAAAAATTCTAATTTGAAATGCAAAGCAGGATCCTGTGAGGACAAACATGTGTATCATGTAATTTCACTGCAAGATGGCAAAACTGAAACCAAACTTTCCAGAAAGTGTTTAATAGCAGCTACTTTCCAAAATTAGGATTCAGGGACAGTCTACATCTGTTCACTTCTTTTCATTCTGCTTCTTCCAGCAGCTTCTTCAATCACACATCTGTTGATCAGAGTGGAGAGGTCGCAGTCTTCATCAGGCCTGGGCAGCATTCCACTTTTTTTCTTGCCCATCTATGTCTTCCTCTCTGTCTGTCATCTGGCATTTCATTGTCAATATTAAGATTCTGCTACAAAGTAAGATTGAAATGTTAACTGTTAGAGAATGTTAATGATGCCATTTCTGGAGGATTCCTCCTCCCTACAGCTCCACCATCACCATTCCCACCACCAACACTGGCTGCATGCGTTTCTGTCTTAAGCTGCAGTGAGAAGTGAGAGTAAAAATCAAATCAAATCGCAGGTTATTCGCTATGAAATTAAATTGGAAAACAGTCAGTCATCGTTTCCAGGCATATTGTTTAATAACGGGTGAATGCTGTCTGAGTGCCTGTGCCACACATTCCTTATGCAGATGTACGAAAATGGAATTTCAGCGATAAAAGACAGAAACTATTGTTTCTCATTAGAGAGTAACAGGAGAAGCTGCAGCGGGAGAAGGAAAAGGGATGAATTTAACAGTTTCTTTTTTTGGTTTCTGTGGTTGATAAAACTCAAGAGGGAGACAATCATTGAGTTTATTCAGATTCATCACTGTATCTTCATATTATTATTATCATTACATTAAATCTTGCCCGTGACGAGTACATTGAGATGGTGGGTGGGGTACAATGTCTGAGGGCAGAGAAAAAGTAAGGAAGAGGAAGTGGGCTGGGTGTTATGTGTGTCAGGGGTGATGAATAACAGGATAGCAAGCCCTGATGAATACAGGGCTTCAAGCAGGCTTTTAGTTTGACTTCTGATTGGAGGCAGTTTGGTTGGAATCCCATGACTTTCAAGGCTGTGGTCGGCAGAGCAACAACCACCAAAACTCCGGAAAAGTCCTGCAGCCCTCCTGTCTAAAAAGTGGGAGTGACAGAATGTCTGATCAAATCACACATCTGTAATTCTCTCAACTTCTCCATGTAAACCAACAATGAAGTTGCACCGGTCCTGGAGGACCGCCTCAAGTCAGGGAAATGAGGTTTTGAGGTCACACAAGGAAACTCTGCACCCTATCATTCCTCTTCATTAACCCAAAATCATGCACATAGCACAAGGTTGATAAAGAATATTCCAGAAAGCTGCCTGCCTCATTCTTCCACCGGAATACCAACAAAACAGCCCGCAGTGGAGAAACCAATTTCAATTTCGACTTCAGACCACATTTCCTATTTCCCCTCTTGTAAGTTATTAAAGTGGCACCAGAAGAGAAGGTGTCTGAAGGTCAAGATGAAAAACCACAGAGCGAGAGATTAAGCAAGGGAAAGACAGAGGGAAGGGGTGACGGAGGGACACGAGGAGGAGGAAGAACAAAAGAGATTGAGACGGTGGACGAGAGAAAATGAGAGGAAGGAGTCGATGAAGAACCAGAAAGTGAAACAGAAGCTGAAAGAATTGGACTTGTCTGCTATATTTTTTTCTTCTACTTCCACTCATCCATGTCCACTTCTCGTTTTAATAGATTTCTAGTATTGCCCCCTCCGTCCCCCCTTCCTCCTCCAGCTGTGGGCCTGTAGCAGCACAGTAGATTAAAATGATAACCAACAGTAATGAGGTCCTACAGGACTACAGCTCTGTGACTAATCGAAGGGCAAAAAGTACAGAGAGGTCTCGGAGCCAGGCTTCAAAAAAAGCCTGGCTCTGTGGGTGGTGATATACAGATTAGACAGGAGGCCGGAGTCCGAAATGACGCAGCGTCAGTGGTGTGGAAAAAATAGCAAAATGTGTTCACATGTTTCATCCGAGCTGTCATTTAACCAGCAGCACTGACACTGGCTGCACAGAAAAGTCGTTAACACATCAGAGGAGGTGATTTCACATCTCAGGCTCCATTTACCTGCTTTCATGTCCTCTCTGTGTTGATAATTAGCCTCAGCTCAGCAAAAGGGAAAAAAACTGCCTTCATAAAGTCTGGAGTATATATACTTTCTTAAGGCAGGTCTTTGTATATACAGTATAAATAATGCATTGGATTATAATTGGCTCAATGAATCAAAATTTCACTATAGTTTAATAAGTGTTTCTCAAATGCAAGGTTGTGACTCAAAGGTGGATCACTGTGGGGAAGCTCTTGTAATGTGTCAGTGGTTTGACTCCCTGCCACATGTTCCTGTCGTCTGTGCTGCTGAAGCTCTACAGATTTGTGTGGGGTTTGAGCGTCTCGTCTCTATGGAAATAGTACGTCAGAGTCCGTCGTGTGTTGAGTCACGGCTGTAATCGGTCGACGTAGTTGTTTAGTGACTGGTTGTTGGCACGGAAGATGCCGGGAAGTGATGTTTTACACTTGATGCGGTGTAGCCTAGCTCGCACTCTACCCCATATTTGCTGACCACCTGTTTTACATGATGATCCACTGAGCAGCTAGTGGTCTGGCTACTCCTCCATGAGCATCTTTCAGTGTTTGAAGGCTCCTTGTAGCCTCAGTAACCCCCCAGGTTTTTGTTCCAACCAACCGAGAGCACATAGTTTGACCAATCAGCTGTCTGAAGACTGAGACCAGTTGATTAAACCTGTCAACTCAGATGTGCTACTGCAGCCACAGCGGCCTATATGTAGCTCTGTAATGGACGGAACTGTTCAGGGTGTACCGCGCCCTCGCCCATAGATAGCTGGGATTGACTCCAGAGCCCCCTGCAAAGGAATAAGCACTAGGCGATAGATGGATGGATGGATGGATGGATGGATGGATGGATGGATGGATGGATGGATATCAGATCCTTGCTATTAATATAACACCACTCCATCTATTTTTGCTACTCGAGACCAGGTCTACAAACATCAGGTGCAGCTGCAGTCCTATTCAATTGCCGAGTGACTCTTATCTCTCTGCTAATATGGATAATATTCACATGGGTGGAGGAGAACCTGCTATTACAGCGAGAAGCGGTGTAATTACAGCAGAGTCAAATGTCGTCTTCATTGTGAGCTGCAGAGAGTGAAGTGTGAAGGGTGAATAAAAATCAAATGTATTTCTGCTTAGGACTTAATGGTGCATTATACAGCGCTCTCATTTTGGCCCAGCTGTTTTTAACTTTCATTTCTCTATTTCAGATGTACTAAAGGACACTTGACCTTAAACCAGGACATGAAATAAACTTTGTTAACCTTTTCAGAACAGAGTGATACTGTATATACCGAAGGAAAAATCTTGTTTTGTTTGAATTGAAGAGTTGTATTTCCTACAGAAGCATGAAACGTATCTCTGGGGGGAAATTATTGATCTTCGTCTGTAATGACTTTGTGTGACGTTGTTTCAGCCAAAATGACATTTTTTTTATTTTACTACTTAAAATTTTTTACAGCTAGCCTTTAGCCTTTATTGGCAAAAGAGTTTTCTCCACAAGAACCATCATAGCCTTTGGGCTAAACTTTGTTTATCTTTTGGTTAACTTTAAAAACATTTAAAAAAAATGTCAATGTCCCCTCAGAGGAGTTGAAGTCATGTTGTTTTGTTGGTGTGTGTGCCAACATGCTTACTACCTCTGATTGGCCTACACTGGTTTAATAGTGTAGCAGTTAGCACATCAGAAGGATCACAAGCAGAGACCAGAGTCCTGGGTTCGATTACCATATGCTTGATAATGTTGATCCTTCTTTGTAAATCACTTTAGGTAAAAGCATCTGCTAAACCTTAACCAATAATCCCACCAAATCATTATCCCTTTATAAAATGGGCAGTATCATTACCCTGTGCATTGAAGGAAGAGCAGTCCAGCTGAACGTTAAACCAAACGACAATCCTCAAAGTGACCATGTGGTGCAGTGGAATTCCACTTATGTAATGCAAGAGCGGCTACATGATCAGAGGATCATCGTTCATCTGTCCTGGAGGAAGAGACTGTCACAGAGCCAGGAATAAAAAAGAGTCTGTGAGATGAGAGCATCTCACTGGGAGCTGGCAGACCAACCAACTGCTGTGTTCTCACCATTAGCATAAGCTACAAAAGTATTAATGATTAATAATGTTATTGATCATTGTTGGTCATGTTTGTCTGTACTTCCTCCCCTGTCAACTCGAACAACTGTGATCGAATTCAAGCCCTAACAATAACTGTATATTTCTTTGAGAACTTTTTTTTGAGGGTTTAGTTCAATTTTTTGAAAAATGTAACCTCCAAACTACGATTACATGAATCCTTTTGATGTCTAATACAGTCCCGAGGCTTACTAAATTTTCTATACCGTTACGCAACTTTTTCAACTTCTTTTTTTACAGATGTATTGTTTAAAAAAATTGAGGCAAATTTGCAATAAAGACTTTTTTTTTTGCCATTTACCAAAGGCTTAATCTGTCTTCTACTTAGCATTATTTAATTATTTATTTAATTATTTATGTTTCATTGATTTGCTTAACTTGTGCATCATTTTGAAAACCTCGACTAACCATAGACTGCAACTAGCAGCTGGGTTTTACTAATTTAAATGTGATTTTTTTTAAACACCTGTTAAAAAGCCAACATTTAAATATCACATTTTGTCACGGCCAAAGGCACGGACATGCGCTGAGACTTTGTATAAGATAACCATCTTTGCTCAGGGGCATTCATGTAATTCAGGGGTAAAATTTTTATCATGTCAAGGGCATTTTTGCCTTCACTTAGCCCTAAACTTCACTCTGTCATATGCCGCTCTCTCCACCAACCTCCCTGGCACCATCTGAATCTGACTGATTTATTTCCAGCTGCTAGTAGCAAAGTCGCCGTCTTATCAGTTGCAGACACATTGCATTTAGTCCCTGAGGATGAAAGGATGGAGGGATTGGTTTGGGAATTTTCCTCCTCATACAACATAATCACTTCATGACCAGTGAGGATTCCTCTCTTCAAAGTTCTGATTTCTGGTTGGTTAAGAGATACTTAGTGACATGTCGGTTTACACCCGAGAGCAGCGATTGCTGGAGGGAGAACAGCGTCAACTTTAGCATAGACTGGAGCGAAACGCCCCTGCACTAAAAGATCTTATAACGGTGGTTATTAAAAAAATGTTGTTCACTATGTTTTGTTAATGGGCAAGCATAAAGAATTACCCTTTACATTAACAAAAGTAATTTATAAAAATACCATTAAAAAGAATAACATTTGATAACCTGAGAGATACACTGCCCCTTACACTCATACAAAAGTAGAAACTATTCTTACCATCGTCATTTTACCTATTTGAATATTATTGCTAGGGATATCCGATAATAACTTTCTGCCAATATCCAATATGCCGATATTGTCCAAAAACTTAATTTCCGATTCTGATATCAACGAATACCGATATAGGCCTGGTAATATTTATTTATTTATCTGTACACACTGTATGAGTTGCTGGCACCAGCATTCTGCATACAAACCTGATTATGAAAATAGATTAATTAAATGAGCTGCAATGCTGCCATCTAGTGACTTTTACTTTCATATGCAGCCGTTTATCCCCAAAACTATTTTTAGGGAACATGTAATTTGATGAAACCCAGGCACTGTGTCATCGGGTTTTCATTATCGGACGGAAAAACCAATAACGATTCTTCCAGAAATTACATAATTCAATCCAATTCAAAAAGCAAAGTAACAGTACAATTTTTAACCCTCTTGTTGACTAGTTGTATTTTTAGAACATACCCCACGGGCACCTTAGGTAGTCCACAGGGTTACCAGGTTTCCCTGGGTACTACGCTGGTGACCCCTGCTATATAGTGCACTACATAGGGGGCATGCAATTTTGTAGGGTTCCCTGAATATGTAGTGAAGTTATCCACTATATAAGGCACTTAATGTATACCATAATGCACTGCGAAATCTATTGTCCATACGATGTACACTAGCCAAGCAATATAACCGATCATGCATTGCAATCGTGACGATTTTGCGGAGAAAGGAGCAGTTTTCTGTTTTATTTGTGCAACATATAATTCCCTATATAGGGCAAAGGGAGTAGGGAATGAGTGATTTCGGATATAGCCATACTGTAACAGACGTTTGTCCGTAAATAGTTCCCTTTAAGAGGAGCATTGAACTAATTTGACCAAATATATACAGTACATTCATGAATAAACTGCAGATGTTCATTCTTATGTATGTTTTCAGCTGAAATATAGCCTGCTTTGCTCCAAGACACAAGAGCCTAAAACCAAGAAGGGGAGAGACAGATCATAAAAAGCAACAGTGGGCGTCTGTCAACGTGGCTCAAAATGAAGGAGCGGCAGCAACATCAGAGCTGTAAAGCTCCTGCTAATTTATACCTGACAGATCCTGAAATACACACTTTGTCACCGCCACAGATTTCCTTTTATTAGGCTGTAAACGTGGCAATTATGATTTTATGGAAAATAAAGAAACTTTTATTGCCACTTATCAAACATGCTGCGTTGATAAGTGACAACTGCGCACTGAGCAGTTTTTGGTGTCAAGCTGCTAGGCCGCCTTCAATTTGACACAGGCGTGCTATTAGACCGCCTTCAATTTGACACAGGCGTGCTAACACTTTCAGCCAGATTCACTGATATACAGCTGAAAACAAACAGTGAACCTTCGCACAAAATGAAGATCAGGAGCTGCACTGGATGATTTGTTTTACATTCCAGACATTTGAATAGATTTTTTTTAAAAAACAAATATGAATTCTAAAGCCACTCAGTCCATCATTCTGTCTTCTGGATTACACTGACACTAAGACATCTAGTTCTGCAGGTAAACATTAGGTACTGAACATTGACAAGACAATAAATGGTTAAGATGGTAATCAATACAAACAATAAACTGATAAACAAAGTCATCCAATCATCAAGCTATACATTCATTTTCAACTCGTGATGAAAAATCAAAACTATATTTAGTAGAAACACTACAACTATCATAAACCTGTAGTGCGTAGCAGTGAACTAAAACAGTTGTTACTTAGAGATTTTTGTTTGTTTGTTTGTTTGTTTTTAAAGAAAGTAGATAAAGACATTTTTTTTACATAGGCCAACACAACCTAGTTTGTGAAGTAAACATGCTGTAAACATTTAAGGCAGTACAATCATAAATTATTTTTATAATAAAAATTAAAATACATTTTTTAAATAATTACCTATAAATAACAATAACAAGTCTATGCTTTTCCTCTTTGTTTTCATGCAAAGAAGTGCAAGTCTAGAAGATATTTATCATCATATGTATTTATATTTAATTCAATAAAATTTTACAAAAAATATGTGCACAGTTTGTGCATTTTCAAAATTCATCAAGCTTTTTATAATAAAAATTAAAATACATTTTTTAAATAATTACCTATAAATAACAATAACAAGTCTATGCTTTTCCTCTTTGTTTTCATGCAAAGAAGTGCAAGTCTAGAAGATATTTATCATCATATGTATTTATATTTAATTCAATAAAATTTTACAAAAAATATGTGCACAGTTTGTGCATTTTCAAAATTCATCAAGCGGGCCGGATTGAACACCTTAGCGGACCAGTTTTGGCACGCGAGCCATATGTTTGACATACCTGATTTAAGAAAATTAAAATAAAAAGAGAAAAAAAATGTTTTAACTAGAAAATTATATAATAGCGATGAACCACAGCCATTTAAGTAATTATTATTTCTACACAAAAAGTATCTATATCCTTCACCATCACGATCAAGTTGTTACCTTGTTGCAGGTCTTAAAAGAGACCTCAGTCAACAAAATGCCATACTATATATACTGTATATATAAGAAATGCCTCACTTTAAGGCATTGGTTCTGCAACGTTAATGTTTCTTTTAAATGCATTCAGGGCCCTGCAGGGCACCATGCTGTTCACTGTAAAGGCTGCTTTCCACCATCTATCATTTATTTGCCATTTATTGTATGAAAAGAGGGGGCTTAGATAAAGGAGGCCCCTCCCCTCCTACTTCCTGCTGGGCATACACTGAAAAAACCTCTAGCTTGGCATTCAAAGAGCAGCCCTACCTTCTTGACGTAGCCCTGGATGAGCTCCGGGGTGGGCACCTGCCCGGCTGAGAGGCACTCTTCCAGCTGCAGATTGTGCGGTGGACACACTGGCTGGGTTCTCTCCGCCCTGCAGGCATCACAGTGGGAGAGTCAGACAAAGATAGACAGTGGGATTTTAGCCTTTCAGCTGGCCAGACTGTCAGACAAAGGCTCGGGACACACACAAGGCCAGTCATGTATTCACACACACAAACTCATGCACGTTAACACTAACACACTGGCTGTGAATGATGACATTACAGTCATAAGGCAACCAAAAACCTGGAGACTATGGACTTAAAACACAAATATACTCTGAGTGTCTCCCCCCGCCCCCATCAACAGATTACACTTTGTTTGGGAGCATTTTTAATGCTGTTACTGCCCCGTGGGAGGCAGGAGGCAAACACAATCAAACACATCAGTGAGACAAAGATCCACACGGGTGAAAGCAAATACATGAGTCGCACTAAAAGCAGGGAATTCAATACAACTCTCCCACCACAGCAGACCCCCGCCCCCACCATCCGCAACTCCCCAGCCGTCTGCGGTGGGGACGTCGGTACTTTGAGCGATCCAAAATCTATTTATATGGTTTTGTATTTTCCTTTTTTTGCTCCTCAGGAGGAATTCCCAGAGCTAACCCTAAGGAGACTAAAGCCCCCGCTTCTACCACCCCCCCAGCGTTTCATCCTGTGTATAGACTGTCTGTGTGTGTCAGTACTCAGTGTGAGACTTGACTCTACAAGAACACCTGATGGGCAGGAGGCTAAAAGATACACGATGGTGTTTCTATTGAAGATGTGTTCCTGTATACTTCTTGGATCAGTCTTGTGTGTGTGTGTTAATTTTATTATTACATCAACTTCTTACAACTACAGGATTAGACATCTCTGCTGTATGTGAGCCCCAAGATAGTGACTTTTTTCATGCAGCCACACTTCTATTTGATGACATTAACCATCAGTGGCACATGTTGTCCATTTATGTGTCCTCTCATGTCATGGTTAAATGTCAATTATCTGTAAATGGTGCTAAAATACACAAAAATCTAAAAAAGTCTTCTAGAGCTGTATTAAGTTTGTATTAGTTTGCTATAGTGAAGAAGGAACTTCATTTCCGTTGACTGAAACCACATCATGAGCACTGAAGAAGAGGAAGTGGTCGACTTTGGAGACAGTTAACTGTCCGAGGTTAGTATATTCAGTAATGCTAAACCAGAGTCTCTCTGATTGGTCCATTCAGAAACATATTTTAGCAGACCTCTCTTAGGTCTCTAAGTCTTTAACTCCAGGTCCATTGATCCCAAACACAGGTTTCTATATCTATATATTTGTCTATGTCTATGACAGAAGTATCGACTCTGCACTAAATTTTCCTTTTGTTCTGCATCACATGTCTTCCATTACCGTACGGACATAATATGCCAATATTTTTCTTTCCACCTGTCACTGGCTGTCTTAATAAATAATCCTCAGCTGACATGTTTCAGGCGAACCCAAGTAAAAACAGCTGTTTCCAGTATTGCTGAATAATACATTGCACATGGTTCCCTTTAAAACCGATGCTAAATCTTTCTGTTAGTCCTACCGGCACACACTGCCGCGGGCCTGACTCCCATCAGTCAGCGATTCAATTCAATTTCAGTTTAATTCTGTTGGTATGGCACCAAATCACAACATACATTATCTCAAGGCGCCACATTTCTCTGCTGTCACTGACACCCGTCGCTTTGTGTATATCACTGTCGCAAGCAGCAGAAGCTGTGTTGACTGAGTCCATCAGCGCGAGCGTCACACACTCGGAAACCTTCATCACGACACGCCGAGAGACCGAGGCTTTTCTCCTGTTCTGAGGGCATTTTTCCTGCAGTGGAATTTATCATATTCACATTATAAGACAGAGGAGGAGATTCTGATCGCTTTTCAAGCTTCTAACTCTGAACAACTGCTTTTCACTTGTACATTATACAAACGTGAAGTGATCATCATATATATATATATAATCATATATATATAATCATATATATATATGGCCATATATATACATATATACATACATATGTACTGTATATATATATACATACTGTATATACATACATATATATACTGTACATATATACTGACTCTTAACTTCTGTCATTTAAAACCTTGTACAACACTTTCGGTATGAATCTTTCAACAGGAAGTGGTCATGGTTGCGATTCAGGACCAACAGAGATGGTCCTGTTAAGAAAAGGTCTGGGGTTTTAAAAATAGCAGCTGCTACACCTGCAGTCCATCCACTCCACTGTGTGAAACAGTAACTTCTCATGCAGCCTGCAGAGTTTGCTGTCAACCTCCCAGGCCTCGCGTGGTTAGACTGGTGTCAAATGCCTGCCTGCTCTCACGACCCCCTCCCTACCACCTTCACCTGAATCTCCCTCCTGGGTGAGTACACCTGCTAAACTGCCTCTTTGCCTCTCGTGTCCTCCAGCAGATGGGGTCACATGCTCTGCTCGGCTGTTCGACACCTCGTGTTGGACTAATGACCGCCCTGAGAGCCGAACGTTCACATTGTAACTACACATTATCACAGAGGGACGAGCTCCGAGGGCTGTTTCGGTGAAGCAGCGGTGACATCACATACAAATGAGTGTCCTGTTTGGCTGCACTGCGTATTTTCAGGTATAAACATCTGGTGTGGACAGGACATTGTTACACTGTTTTGAAAAATAACTACAAAAGTATTGTGTCAAGTCAAAGATGTGTTTACAAAACAGGAACTACAGTCTTATTCTAGAAGCTACTTTAAAATGTATTCCTATGTGCAATACCACTGCTGGCCACCAGATATATTTTCCTCCCTTTCTTTGAGGGATTTTAATTGCCAAATGGTAAAAAAAGGTGATATAGGGAGTACTCGACTTTATCAGGGTTCGGGATCCTAGCGGCAACGTAGCCCGGATTTTTGCCGCAGTCGGAACTATCGCAAAATATGTAGGAAAATGGAACGGTGCATCGAAACAGCAATGGAGATTGAATTATTTATTGTCCTCTATAATTGAATCTAACAAAACAAGCTGGACCACCTCTGAGCCGGCTGGTACATCTCCGGGTACGCCGTCAGACCAGAACCAAACTAGCCGGACCACCCTCCGGACTGGCCGGTGCAGCAGTTGGGAGGGTGGACAAGCTACTCCAGAGGTGGTCAGACATCGGACACGGAGATGACCGGTACCGAAGATGCCCTTTATCGGAAACTGACAGTTGCAACAACTAGAATATAAGTATTTGTATTCAACTATTTTGGAACTACTGCCTGAAACATAAAGTATACACAAACATGAGACATACATTCAGAAGTATTTGTTTAAAAACATAGGTTTCTGAGGGGTTTTTGTTTTAAACATGGTGTGGAAGTTAGGAAACTGTCTGGAATATTAGGGTTAGGATTTGGAAAGCCACTTCCGTTTGATTGTAATATGTTCTTCTCAAAAACAATTTAATTTGACATTCACCTTTCCAGTGGCATCTGTCATGTCCTATTTGGTAAAAATGTAAGTTTATCTGTATGAGTCACAATTTATACACTTTTCAACCCATTTTTACTTACTTTCTGTTCATCTATTAGTCTTGAATTTAACAAATACTGAATACCGAAAACAAAAACAAAAAACAGAAAACTGTTCAAATTAAATAAACCTGTATTTTTCGTCACAAACCAGTCTTCTTCTTCTACAACCTACGTTTTACCCTACTTTCATATTAATATTTAACAAAACCACACACTTCCTTTCACACGTTTTTCCTCTAATGGTTTTTTATTAAACCTCCACCTCCGTCATCTTCATCTATTCTTCATCTCTCATGCTCTCTAACCTCCGCCCATCACCCTCTCTCAGCCCCAGAACACAGAAGCGACTTGTAATTACCCTGTAATGATGAATATATCCCATCAGCTTTTGCCCGCTGAACTGAAACCCTAATTCCGAGACCTCGATTGAACAATGAGAGAAGTGACAGTCAACATTTTTTACATTTTTAAACAGTGCTATTCATTCTGTCATGTTTTTAATTCATTTTATGTCCTTTGCCTGTTTTCTTTTTCACTTGATTTTCACTTTATATTTCATTTCTATATTTGTAATATTTACTGTTTAGCCTGATTCAAGCTGTAACAGACAAAAATACAGTCATGTTGTAATACGTATATTACCTAAATATACATATAAACTATATGTATGCAGTTGGATTTTCTTGTATTCCTGACTAGTTTCAGTCCGAGCCACTATCTGCTGGGCTTGACTTGGACATTTGGATTTTTGGACTGACGGATGAAAAACAACGACGAGATGATTCTTCTAACTACAAATATAGATTCAGTATCAAAGATAGTCAAAGATGGTGGCTGGCTGTTCCCATTGGTTTATTTTTACCCTCCAGCCAACACTAAAAAAAAGAGAAAAAACTATGGTTTTAGTCATATTTCAGGGGAAAGAACAATAGAGCCTGTACAGGATGTGTAGCCAAGCCAGTGTTAGCTCCTTGATTGATGAAGGGTCAGACAGAAAGCAATAAAAAATTTACACATGACACAGTGCAGTACTTGCACAACCCTGTGAGTAGTCTTGGACAGTGAACGTAACCCTTGACTCAGATCCTTGCACAACAGATACTTAACTGGGATTATGTCCTTCTGCGTTCTGTGTACATGTACATCTATGTGTGTGTGTGTGTGTGTGTGTCTTTGGATGCTAAATAAAGGCACCTTCACCGCAGCAGTTGCACCGGTCTACTCTGATTTTGGTTTTGTTTCACTTGAAAAGGTTCATTTTTGGAGGTGCAGATGAATGGCTGCTCACTGTCATGCTTTCAATCCCATTTACTGTAACACCTACTAACTCCCTCCTTATTTTCCTCTTTTCTCTGATTTCTAGGTCAGGCAGATCCAAAAAAAGGGGATGAGGAGAGAAGATGCACTGCTCCTTTCTGCTCCTCTTTGTGGTCGACTTATTTCTCTTCCCTCATTTTTACCCCCATGTGGAGATTTAGTTTCCCCTGGGCTGCTGTTGGTGGGAGCAGCTGTCTCCACAGTGACAGACGCCGG